CTCATACCCTCATAAGATCCCTCATGTCTCATAAGATCCCTCATACCCTCATACGATCCCTCATAAGATCCCTCATGCTTGATAAGATCCCTCATACCCTCATAAGATCCCTCATACCCTCATATGATCCCTCGTGCCTGATAATATCCCTCATGCCTGATAAGATCCCTCATGCCTCATAAGATCCCTCTTACCCTCATAAAATCCCTCATAAGATCCCTCATGCCTCATAAGATCCCTCATGCCTCATAAGATCCATCATACCCTCATAAGATCCCTCATACCTCATAAGATCCCTCATGCCTCATAAGATCCCTCATACCCTCATAAGATCACTCATAAGATCCCTCATGCCTCAGAAGATCCCTCATACCCTCATAAGATCCCTCATACCTCATAAGATCCCTCATACCCTCATATGATCCCTCATACCTCATAAGATCCCTCATAAGATCCTTCATACCCTCATACGATCCCTCATAACCTCATAAGATCCCTCATACCCTCATAAGATCCCTCATGCCTCATAAGATCACTCATACCCTCATAAGATCCTTAATTCCCTCATAAGATCCCTCATGCCTCATAAGATCCCTCAAGCCTCATAAGATCCCTCATGCCTCATAAGATCCCTCAAGCCTCATAAGATCTCTCATGCCTCATAAGATCCCTCATACCCTCATAAGATCCCTCATGCCTCATAAGATCCCTCATGCCTCATAAGATCCCTCATACCCTCATAAGATCCCTCATGCCTCAGAAGATCCCTCATACCCTCAGAAGATCCCTCATACCCTCAGAAGATCCCTCATGCTTGATAAGATCCCTCATACCCTCATAAGATCCCTCAATGCCAATGAACGTAACAAAGGTAGCAGAAAGAGTACCTAATCCTCAGGGGTGGTAGGGTGAGGTGAAGAGTCTCCAGGAGGGTCTCTGTAGGACAGGCCAGAGGTGGAGCAGGAGGCGGCGTAATCCAGAGGCAATCCAAGGTCAGGGCAAGGTCAAAGACAAGGTATCGCGCAAGGCAATACAAAGGGGTCAGGAGCTAGGACATGCTAAGCTATCACAAGGAGCAGGTTAGTGATGCTTAAAGGAGTTGTAAAGCCCCAGCACATCCTCTCCTGCTATAAGATCAGCATTGCATAAAGATCATGTGGACCACCTCTGGATCACGTGATCACTGTGAGAGCCTGTGATTGGTTGTGACTGCTGTAGAAACCTCCTGTGAGAAGAAACAGATACATTGTATCTTTTTTCCCCCCTCCCTAGAGGAGAAGAATGTAAACAACAAAGAAATAAAATAAAGATAACATAGCCAGATCAGAGCTATTGTGCCGGGCCCGGCTACAGGTACCAACAGCAAATAGCGCACACATATGCGGTATCGCTGTGAACGTCAGGAGTAGAACTTATTTGGGGCTTCTTTATGGTGGTGGTTAAAGTAGTATTAAAACCCTTAAACCTTTTTTTCAATGATGAATCCGGATCAAACAATTATAAATTGCCCTGCAAAGTATTTCTTTAACACTTACTGAACAGCTCCAACTCTCAGCTTGGCTTCCCTGAACTTCCTTTCTTGTACAGGATCACAGGGGACAACACAGTCTCCACCAGCTGCCTATCCACTAGTTTGTAGAAGGGAGAAAGTAGGAGTGGGGAGCAGGGGAGTGCCTTGTGTGCTTTTGTGTTAGTGGAGACACACACAGCATGCTAGCACACACAAGGGTGGCTCCATAGGACCCTGCAAGGGTCCAGGATATAGGTTACAGGATATCAGGAGTAATACTCAGCTGATTCTGCAGGAAGCTAAACATTTTAAACAGACAATCGGATTCGGATGAACCTGAAAATCAACGAAATTCAGTTGATTCGGCGGTTCGTCCTAATCTGAAATAACGAACTTATTATATTCCCGAATATACTAAAACTATATTCGGGCATACATAACTTCTTTTGCGGAACGCGCGGCGGCCACATTGGTTCTGCGCAGACGCGCCGCCATCTTTGAGTATATCTTGGTATTGTCCAAGATGGCGGCCGCCCGAACATACAGGCGCCCCCATCTTGGTGGCCGCCGCTCGTTCTGCGGTTTCTGATTCGTTTCCTCCGAATCCCGAAACAGCAGAAATAATTGTTTTCTTTGATGAAACGAATGGAAATGTTATCCGTTTCCATGTGTTTTGTCAGAAAATGAATGCTTATGCCGTGCGCGCGCATGTCTATTAAACATCAAGGAGCGGCGTCCATCGCAAGTGATTTAAAAATCATTTTAAAACAGTGGTTCTCACCCTGTGTAACCTCAGGACCCACATTTGTCCCTTGTTATTAAAGGAGAACTATGGGGTTAAGGCTTTTCCCCATAGTTCTCCTTAGGGTAAGGGGAGGACACAAACTAGCGTCCTCCCGTCACCCTAAGCTCAGTATACCGCGAGCTGTAGCTCGCGGTATACTTAGACGCCGCAGCTGAAGCGAATACTGACAATTGTGCCGGGATCTGCCCAGCTGCGTGACTGACAGCTGGCTCTGCCTATCTAGAGGCAGAGCCAGCTGTACCCGCCCCCTCCCCCGTCCGTTCCGCCAGTCAGCCCCCTCCCCCGTCAACATGGGTGGGAGGTTCATTTTGGGTACCATTCAAATGAATGGCAACTCAACACACCTCCCACACCAGAATGCATAGTAGTGTGCGATTGCGTAGTACAGTGTGTTAATTGCCTGATACAATGTGATGAATGCACGGTGCTAGTGTGAACAGGCCCTCAAAAACACTGACACAATCTGATACTCACAGATATTTTGACACACACACACACTCCAAAAAAATGTTTTCATTCAATTAATTTTTTTTCAGATCCACCCGGTCTCCCTATCTCAATAGAACTGGAGTGGATCCTCAGCCTGGGGTCCAGTGCTGGGCTGCTGTGCTGTGATGGAGCTCCATCCATACATACATGCATTGCTTGTACAACTCCCTTACATGCCCTATAGAGGTTCCGAGAGCCAGAATTTGATGTCACCATGGCACCTCTATGGAACATGTGAGGGAGTTGCAAGCAATGCACGTATGGATGGAGCTCACGGCCATAGCCCCATCGCACCTCAAGCTGACACTCGGCGCCGTGCAGCATATTTTGAACGGCTGCTTGGTGCGAGAACTGACAGTGCTGCGCTAGGGGGAGGCAGAGGAGCCTCTCACCTAGAAAAGTGGAAGGCATGCGGCAACCCACTGAAAAAGGGGTCGCGACCAGGGGCGTCCCGAGGCTGGGTGACACCCGGAGCGGTAACCGAGTGTCACCCCGCCAGGACGTCACTGAAGACACATTAATATCACTTTAGGGTTTGTTTTGCCTTCAATAGCATGTGACATTAAAAACGGCGACCGCCATCATTTTGCTTCTGTGGGTCCGCTGCTTTCACAAAATATCGCATTGAAGCGTGCGTGTGCAAAATGGAAAAAAAATGGCTCCAGCGTCGCTTGGGGTTAAAGGTGCAGGGAGCCCTTTGATTTAGGGCAGTTGTAGTGTTTCCTGTGCATCATGAATGGCTGACGGAGTGATATTACTTTCTGGCTGGAAGGGGGAGGGGCAGTAGACCGCCATAAAGTGAATTGATTTAGGGAGGGGATGATGGGAAAAACGCAGTTTAAATTTTGCTGTGGAACATGATTTATGGGTGTGACCCTGAGAGGATCTAGAAGGCATTTATTGGATTTGTTCACGGGCCTGCCGAAACAAATATCAATAATCCATGCGATGACGTGCAGCCAGCAATACTGATTATAGGAGTAAAAGGAAGTATACGTCAAGCGTCAATCTAATCAGGGGCTGAAAGAAAGGCAGAGAAATCTGCAGGCGTGGACCGTCCAATCTGCCAGAGGATCTGTCTGGACATAGTCTGTCTGGTCAAAACATACAGAGGGGGTCACTGCCCCGCCCCCCACATTGGTGAAGGAACAGAAAGTCACCTACTCGCTGCTCACTCTGCTCTCAAGTTGCTCACAACTTCTCCACATGTGCATGCAGTGTGTTTTAATTGGATTCTAATGCAGAGATGAAAACATCCAAATTACAGGCCAATCTTAGTCCCTTATCTGGGTCTCCAAGCAAAACTGCAGCACAATATTCACGTGCGGATTATTATTTAAAGTGTTTCTAAGTGCTACGTGCTTTTTTTTTATCCTTGTCATCGCCAACGGATCCAGGAAGTTCCAAGCCATCCCCTGAACTTTTGGATTGTGGAGGAGGGTCCCGAGACAGCAGTGTAGTGATAGGCTCCTGCTGCCGTCAGTCAAATTGCTGGGAGGAAGGCAAAGGAGGGAGCAAGGGGTGTGGCTTGCCAGGTGATGTGTTTCTCTATAGACGCACACAGGTAGGCTCAGGTCCTGGCGTTGCATCCTGGGAAGGTTACATCAGCAGAGCATCGCTGGGAAAAATCTCATCCGTAATCTCACGAGATCTCAGCGAAAAGGCATTTTCCTCCCCTGAGATGATGTGGTCACATGTCCTATTCACAGAGTTCCAGGGAGATATATTAATCTGCCTCCACACAGGTTCCTCCTCTGCAGCATGCTGGAAGAGAAGGAGCCTTGCTCTCCGTGTGTAAGCAGTGGTCTCTCTGCAGAGGTCCAATACACTCCCTGCTGAGTCAAAGCTAGAATTCTTGAAGCAGCAGAGAAAGTGTGCTTGCTTATTGCAGAGCATTAGATCTGACTCAACAGGGGGGGGGGGGGTCGGACCTCTGCAGAGAAACCACTGCCTCCACATAGGTCCCTTCTCTGCTGCATGCTGGCAGGGGTCAGGCTTTTCTACTCAGGCTGTGGCTGCTTTCTAAAGATAACAAACTAAGACTTTGCACACCTTTTGTTCTCATTCACCTGGAATGTATGTAGCTGATTTAAAGGGAAGCTTGGACGCTTCATATATAATTCTTTAGTAAGGGCAGGTCAGCGGGGATGGTTTTGTAGTTTTCCTTTGATACTGAACCCTTTGCTCTCCCTGCAGGCAGCGATGGGGCGGCACTGGACTGGAAAGGGTTAAAGGATGCGGACCAAGGGACCATCGAGAACAGCTCAGTCCTGGGAAGCAGCACTCACAGACCATCAAATGAGGTACCACTCTGCGTAGTCCATCCCCTGCCGTCCTTCAGAAGTCCTCTGGAGCTAGAGGGGTTCATTCCTCATCCTTCTCCTTGTCACTCTGTGTATGTCTGGATGTCTCTGGCTCTCTCTCTCTCTCTCTCTCTCTCTCTCTCTCTCTCTCTCTCT